AAAAATTCATAAATAGTTGCAACTCAAAGTGTTGCAACTTAAGTTGCAACTAATTAAAAATTTTAAAAATAATTATGGAAACTATCTTTAATAACTACAATATCATAAAATCTTTCATAAGCTTGAATTTAATCCAGAGACATCCAAAATAAGACAGTTAATCTTTTTTCAATAAAATAAAATTAAAATGTGGTTTTACTATCCATAATAGATCTTCATCTTTTTTTTGAATACAAATCATTTAAGGTTTGACAAGCATCATTTTTCAAGATAATATATCTTTCTTATACCAGTGTATAGCATTACTTAAATCTTTTTTATTAATCTTTTTATCTGAAAATGATGTAACAAGCAGATTATATTGTGTTGTTAAACTTAAACTTCCATGAATTATTCAGAATTTAATTTTCTCAAGCATATCATTAGTTAGTTATCAAAATTTTAGTGCATATTCTCTAATAAAAGGATTCATAGAATGATTATATTTATCTATAATATTATTGATTTAGATTTTCAAATTCTGTTTTGGGAAATGACATATTAATATGCCAAGGACAACCAATCATATCCAAATCTCTATTTCTTTGATTTATTACTAAAATAACCTTTTTAGCTTTATGTTTTCATTTATAAGAATATTCAAATGTATGATGACATAATATAGAATTATCAACTGGATCATAAATACATCTTTTACAAATACAAAATCCTTCTTATTTTACAAAATTTTCAAAATAAGTTTCAGCTATTTTTCATGTATTGAACTTCATATTTATAAATAATTTCAAGTTATTAAAATCTACATCTTTATCATCACTGGATTTAACTATTTCTTTAACATAAATATCTGAAATGACTTTATCATCATATAGTTGAGATTCATTAACATTTTCAAATAAAGAAATATTTTGAAAAGGAAAGTTTATATTAATATCAGGTTCCATTTTAAATGTCATATTGAAAAGAATCGAAAAAAAATTCAGTTGCAAAAAAAAAAAAATCAAATCAAAAGAGAACATAAATAAATTATCGATTTATTATATCGTATTAATCACATGTATCATTATTATGAGTAATATCCTAAGTTAAAATTAATTATATTTAACTCCAAGTCATAATTAATACCAATCATCCAGGATTAAAATTTTTGTCGATTACATGGAGTTAAAATTAGTTATATTTAATTATTTAATAATATCTGTATAAAAACATTCCTGACAAAGCTATCAATTATTCTCAATAATCACATGATCCCAATATTTACATTCTGATCAAAATCCAAAAAAGTTAAAAGATCAAAATTTTCAGATTTATATATTAAAATTTGATCAACTTGTTTTATATTATATTAATTTAATAGTGTTAATAAGGTTATTTTTAAATATAAATCTAGAAATTTAATTTACTACTAACAGATATAATATATAATATTTTATATTATATCTGGCATAAATTGTTTATACAGATAGCTTTCAAATCTTTCTTATGAAATATTTTAAACTATAATATAGATGCAGTGTTTTTCTTCTATGTTTTTATTTAAAAAAAGCTTATAAACAATAATCACCTTTTATATTGTGAATTTATGGATTTATGGATAACAATAGATTATGAAAACTTTAATGGACACAATAGAAAGTGTCTATTGTCTATTATTTACTAATAGATATATACATTATCAAATGAACATATTTATTTTAGAGAAAGTTCCAAATTATCATTTAGAATTGTTATTAAATGTTCATTTAGTTCTTTTAAGTTCATCTCATGATAAAATGAAACTAAATATTCTATAAAAAAGTATAGATCTAAAATAATTATGAATTTAGTAAATTGTTATAAAAGCTAAATGTGTATTCTTCAAAATTTATAATGTAATCAATTATGTATTTCCTCATACTCTGAATGAAAAATAGGTTTTGTTGACGAAATTTCATCATTTAGCAATCATATATTTAAAATTCTTGAAATATTCCTAATGTGAATTCTGATTTGAATAACGATTATTTAAGACAATGTAATTTAATAGTAAGGTAAATTTAAATCTCTTTTTATTCTTGACCTAATCAGATTTTGGTTAGGATATATTTTTTTTAAAAATGATTAACAAAAATAAATATAAACTATTTGTATATACAAATGTAAATTTTAATAACTAGATAAAAGTATATCAGAAAGTTTAGTACTTATTTTTATTTCCTGTAGAATTAATATATTTAATACTATATTAAATAAGATCATTCATACTCATTATCCTTATTAAACTAGTTTTTTTTTAGAAATCTTTACATTAATAGATACATAACGTAATTTATGAGATAGAATCACAGGTCGAATGAAGGTATGTCAGTGAAGAATCATAGACTTAATTCTTCACTGATTCTTCACTCATTCTATAATGATACTATTAAAACTGACATTTCTGATCATCCACTTATTCTGACTATCTTTCTGGATAAAACCAGTGAATTATCGGATATATAATACTTCATAAGCATTTATAAGTATTGAATTTAAATCTATGAAGAATCGGGTAACTGACTATTCTGATATTTCGCTTATATTTACATAATTTACTAATCATAATTTGAATTACTATGAAGTTATTATTAAATAATAATAATTTTATGAGTCAATTATCAGGATTCCGATACTTTATAATAATTATAATATTTACGTCTGATTATTAATATAAGCATGCTTGATGTTTTTGTAATTGTTTAATTATTTTATTTTATTCATAGCATTACATTTAAATGATTTAATTGCAATAAATTACATATATTATTATATTCAATATAACTATCATTATCATGATTAACTATTATTATATAATATCACCATTCTACTGGTCTGTATCATTATCATCATCATCAGAGTGATACAATGTTGATATCATCCATTCTGGAGCATCTTTTGGAGGTCTTGAGCTATTATACTATTTCTCATTCTCGTACCAATAATGCTTTATAACTTTTAAATAGTCACAAAATCCATCCAATCAGCTTTAATTGGCAGATCCTCAAAATCTACCCAATCAACCAAAAATTGGCAGATCTG